TTTAAGAGGTGTATTTTGTCCTGTTTCTTTTTCCTGAAGAAAGGGTGAGACAGAGGCAGAGTAGTCTGTTCCAAAGCCAATAAAGTAAACAGCTTGAGAGTCCTTGGGCATTTTTTAAAAGTTGAAACATTAGAAGCAGCCTGAATGGGTGGGGTCAAACTCCCAGAGAACCAGGATTTTTTTTTGTTTTACCCTTCAGTTGCTGGAGTCTTGAAGCCTAATGTGGAAGCTCTTAATCCTCTCTCTGTTACAGATAAAAGCTAGGGTTCTCTTCCTGCTGCTAGAATTGCATGTGTGACAATCTATTTTATTGAATTTGCCTTTGCCAAGGGTGTGTTTATGGGATGTTACTATATTGGAACTGTTAATGAGTAGTAGTTAATATATATTATTTTGTTAAACGTTTTGATAGAGTTACAGTTAAGCCAATTCTTTTGTTTTGTTTTTATTTCTTCTGTCTTTTAATTACAGCGTATGAATAAAGTGTGTTTTGTTTCAAACCTGGTAGTTTGACCAATCAAATTGCATCCAGAACACAACGCTTTACACCTATCTTTAAAATAAGAAAAAGTTAGGGTCTAGACCATCTTCTTAATATATTTCGAGGGGATTTGTTCTGGTCCATAATAAATAGGGGGCTTGATTGGGATCAAAATCTCTAATTCCAGGTTGGATTTTGGATTATTAGACTCAAAGTTAGTGAGTGTTGGGTGTTTTCGGGTGTTGAATTTGGTTGGTTTAAACAAGGTGTACCTTATGTAATAATGGCCCTTTCAGTCGCTAAGAGATTCCAGAGGGTGGAAGAAGTCTCTTCGGGAGTTTTACAGAAAGTGAGCAAGGCAAAGTTTTTGGAATGGGTAGGGGGAGTTGCCTTTGTCTGTGTGAGAAGGAGGGGTAATTACTGCAATAGCTCAATATTTATGATCATTGGAAATGCCATCGGAATCATTGGAAATGGATAAAATTCAACTGCAAACGAAGCAGCGTGGACATGAAAAGGAAATTAAACAGTTTGAATTACAATTAAAAGTAGAGGAAAAGAAAAGGAAAGGAAGGACCTCGCAGAGGAAAGGGAGAAAGTGAGTTTTGTTTTGAACTTCAGAGGTTGGAATTGAAAACTCAAAAGTCAACTCAAAATGGTGGAGGTAGAGGTGAAAAGTAGGAGTAATAATGAGGTCAGTGATGGACAGCAATCCCATCATAGCCAAAGGCCTGCTGGGGATTTGTTTAAATATGTTCAAGCATTGCCTAAGTTCACTGAAAAGGATGGAAAAGGCTTTTTCATTTCATTGAGAAAATAGCTAAACAAATGAAATGGGTGGTGACCGTGTGGGTACTGTTGATCCAAATAAAGTTGGTAGGTGGTGCTAGTAAGGTATTTGCATCACTATCAGTGGAGGTATCTAGGGAGTATGATGAGGTGAAAAATGCCATCTTAAGTCAGTATGAGCTGATGTCAGTACCCTACAGACAACGTTTTAGGAATCTAAGGAGGGAACCTGGTCAAACGTGCACAGAGTGTGAAAGGGTCAAACAAAGTAATTTTGATAGGTGGATAAGGGCACTGAAAATTGATCAAACGTATGACATTCTCAGAGAAGACTATTTTGGAGGAGTTCAAAAATTCACTTCCGGAAGTAGTGAGCACTTAAGTGGAAGAGCAGAGAGTTAAAACTGCGAGATTAGCAGCGGAAATCGTAAATGATTGTGAGTTGGCTCATAAATCTAAGTTTAGCCTGCAACATCATTTTCAACATGAGGGATAGAAATTGGGGAAAACAGAAATCCTTAGGTGGTAAGGGAAAAAGAGATCTCATTGAAGATAGTAAGGATAGTTTACCATAGGGTAAAAAGGAAACCCACGAGGGGGAAAGTTAAAAAGCTCAGTGTTTTCACTGCAATAAATTAGGCCACGTGAACCCACAGCGTTGGTGATTTATAAAAAGCACTGGGAAGACGGATGTGGGAAAACAAGATAAGCCAGTGAGACATAGCAAGAACTGTAGGTGCTGGAGTCAGAGACAACAGTGTGTGGAGCTGGAGGAACACAGCAGGCCAGGCAGCATCAGAGGAGCAGGAAAGTTGATGTTTCGGGTTGGGGCCCTTCTTCAGAAATGGTGGGGGATGGGTAAGGGATCTGGGAAATAAATAAAGAGAGGAAGGGTGGGGCTGGGGAAGGTAGATGGGATAGTGATAGGCAGTGATAGTCAGTGAGTTTTGTTGAATTGGTAAAGGAAAGCACAGTGCAAGCTAAAAGCTGCAAAAGAATGTACAAGGAAGTTGAAGTTCAATTATCAGAGAATATGTTTGATCAAATGTTTGAACTGAAAATATCCACTTTGTCCTCCACCTGTTCTTGTTTTTTCTCAGATAAATTAGCTGAATTACAACAGAAAGATTAAAAATTAAAGTAGTTGTATCAAAAAGCGTACACAGAAGAAGAATCTGAGTACATCCCAGAATGTTACTATCTTAAAAAATGAAGTCTTAATGAGGAAATGGAGACCATCACATATTCAGGCAGATGAAAAATGGGCAGAAGTTCATCAAGTTGTATTATCAGTAGATTACAGAAAGGATGAGTTGTGGGTAGCACATGAATTACCAGTAGAAGGCTGTTTGGAAGGAAGGAAAACTCAAGCCAAAATACAAAAACATTTTTATTGATTTGGATTGCATAAGAATGTGGTTGAATTTTGCTGGACATGTCATATGTGTCAGATAATTGGAAAACCTCAGGCAGTGATAAACCAACACCCTTAATACCCATTCTCATGTTTGAGGAACCTTTTAGAAGAGTCTTAATTGACTCTGTCGGACCCTTACCTAAAACAAAAAGTGGGAATCGGTATTTGTTGACCAAAATGGATGCCTCCACTAGAATTCAGGATTACCCAATTGTGCGGTGTGCATCAATGATCAGGTGATTTTTCGTCATACATGGAAGGAACATTTGGAGCATCTATTAGAATTGTTAGATTGACTTTGGGAGACAGGCTTGGTGATCAACCTTGCTAAGAGTGAGTTTGCAAAAGCTCAAGTCAGGTTCTTGGGCCATGTCATTGTGCATAGACAAATGGCCCCACAGGATGTGAAAACAATGGTTATTGGGGAGTTTCCTAGACCATCGACGAAGAGGGAAGTACTACGATTCCTGGTACCGAACAGTTTTTATCGGAAATTTGTACCAAACTTTAGCAGTGTGGTTACTCCACCGATTGACTTATTGAAGAAGTGCCAAAAATTTTTTTGGATCAAGTGACATCATGAGGCGTTTGACAGCATGAAAGCTGTGTTAGCCACACCTAATTATGCAAAGCCATTCAAGATGGCTGTCGATGCGAGCGACGGGTGTCGGTGCTGTACACTTGCAAGAAGAAAACAAGTGGATAGAAAGATCTATTGGGTATTTTTCTAGAAAATTGAATAATCATCAACAGAAATATTCCATGATTGAGAAAGAGACCTTGAGCTTGGTGCTGGCATTGCAACATCTCAACATTTATATTGCCAGTAATGTGTCTGAGACAATTGAGACAACTGATCATAACCCATTAAAGGTTTTGGAAAATTTTAAGGATAAAAATTCTAGACTGTTTAGGTGGAGCTTATTATTGCAGCCATTCAATTTGAAAATATACACACAGCAGGGTGGGAGAATGTAATTGTCGAGGCGTTGTCACTACTTTGATGAAGGAAGACGGAGGCATTTGGTGTTAGGAGAAAACAGTCTGAAATGGACTGTAGTAGTGAATGTTTGCGTACTTAGAGTCAATGTAATGTATATGTATTGTAGTGTACTAATAGGGTAAGACTAAAGATTTTTAAAAATGAAGCCATCTTTGCATATTGATGGGTTTTTTTTTTAAAAGGGGGTGGTCCATAACAGTGTTATGTATTTCTATGTATTTGCGTTCTTCCTGCCGAACTCCAATTACATCATTCCTCTTGTTAAGTTGTGAGGAGTTTTGTGAAGATGTCCTTAATTACTAACAACACACACACACCACACACACACACACACAAAATCACTGATTCTTCAACAGGAAGGTTTGAAACTCCGAGATACGCTACGATTGTCTTCGATAGATATTCCCCAGAAAATATGCAAATAAAAACCGGCAGTTAAATGCGTGAAAAGGGATTAGACACAGACCATGGCGCTAATGAGTGAGTGTGATATCAACCCCCACTCCCCCCCATGCCACCCGCAAAGTAAAACAGAGTGAAGTAATGGGTTCTGAACATCAGTCAGCAGCGACTGCTACATTCACAGATCCTGACAAACCCCCATCTATCTTCTAACTGAAAAGATGACAGGACAAGAGTCTCCTTTTTATTTTTGTGGCACGCCTACTGCTGTCCCAGGAGATTGCTGGATTGAGTTGCTCTTTTCAGTTGCACGCACAGCAGAATTATAAAGAAAACTGTATAGGTACCTGCTATAATGACGTCACTGGCAGTAAGAGTCCTATAGGTGGGGCAAGGCAGGCTGTAAATCATCTTTATAATGCAGCACTCTATTAGCAAGCTTGGTTGGCAATGGTTGTAACAGAATGCTAATTCTTCCTGCCTTTGAGCCACTCTCTGGACATTATCTCTCTGAACAATAGGTCTGCCAAGCAGGTGGTCCGTGCACCACTGCTCCCTGTATACTAAACACCTGCTTTGTGTCACCCTGTGCCCACGGTCACTGTGGGGCTGCACAGCCAAGGATGCAACAATGTCTCTTCCACACTCAGGCATTTTTGGAGGGGGTGGGGGTGTATAGAGAAAGGTGAGCAGTCTTCACTGGCCAGGCCTCAGGCTTTTCTTGAAGGTCCGAAAGCCAATAAAAAGGACGAACAACAACAACAACAACGGGCAAGGACCCTGGCCGAGGAGTCGGGCTAGCGGTGGGAAGGTTGTGGAGGGGGGCGGGGTGGTGTTGCGAGGACGAGCGTCTATTGCATCCTGCAGGCACTGCGGTCTTCAGTCACACATTTAAAACAAAGGCTTACTTGTCTCAAGTCGATGAAGGCCAACTGCAGCGTGTCCCCTTGGAACCCAGGCACCGGTCCGGATCTGGCAAAGTCTGTGGGAAAGAAAAGAGGATAAAAACATCTCTAAACAACCATGGACAGGGAGATTGGCAGACGGATGACAGCACAGACAGTGAGGCCAAGCTAGAGGAGGACCATTCTTCTAAGGAAGCATGTCTTCCTCCCCTACACCTTTGTTCACCCGTCAAAAATTCTGTCATCAAACCACCATTAATTCCAAGCCTTGACAGCTAGGAACTGTACTAATCGACCTAAAATTTATTCCCATGGGCTGTTTTAGCTTCATAGTTTTTCTTTCCTCTTCTTTCTCGAACGAACAAACAGCTTGCGAATGGTTTCGCGACACAATAAAATCTACAGCTGGTGAAATCCTTTCAATTCTGTTAAACTGATTTGATTTTTTTGTCCCGCATGGCCCACACTGTGGGATCTTTTAAATTACACGCTTGTCACCTGATTTTATGAATGCTAATAAGACAACATTAAAAGCTCCGATCTCCCCTTGTCACCCCATAACCCCTCCCTGTTTACAGCTTGTTTTAAGATGAAAATCTGACTAGGACGAAAACTGTTTGATGTAACAATTAAATTTTCCAAAAGATTGGGAAATTTTAGCATGTCTGACCGTAAAGTTACTATTAGTTGCAGCGAGCAAATACCCAGTCAGAAAATAAGAGTCAACGATGATGAAACAAAAACAAAGGGAAATAGGAAGAAAGAATGTGGTGTTGATGGAACGACAGAGAGAGAGAGTGTGTGAAAGAGAAAGAGAGAGAGAGAGAGAATGAGAAAACGCACAGGGACTGGGAAAATATGACAGAGTGTGTCCAAAATATTAAAGAGTTGTGGGAGATATCGGGTCTTCAATATGACAATTGAGAGGAGGAGTGGGTGAGAGATTGCAGGAGAGAGGAGAGAAGTACAGGGTGATGGGGTGAGAGCATGCAGTAAGAAGCAGAGTTAAAACACAGAAATAAAAAGGAATGAGGTGACTTTAGACCCAGACACTTGAAGTGGGAACCAACAACTGACAGGCAACCGATGCAGATGAAGAAAGATTAAAAAAACAAGGGATAGGAAAAGAAAAAGACAACAATGCATATTTCGCTCACACCAACAGCTTTTGTCAGTTTGACAGTTTGGTCTGTGTAAATGTTGGAAGTCTTTGGCAATTTTAAACTAGCAATTTCTGCCACTGGCAATCTTACCTACAACTTTTAAGCTCCATATCCTCTCACTAAATTTATTTATGTCTATAAAACATCCTAGAGTCAGTACATTTATTTGGAACAATCTGCTCAGTTGCCTTCTTCCCCTTCTTCAAAGATGCTTAGAGTTTCAGAGGCAGTACGTCACTACGCTCACAGCCTTCTCAGTTTCAATAAGACATTGAAGAATCTTCTTCACTCTACCTGAGAGAGGCTAAACATAACTGCTTACTGTACCCGTTGTGCTGAAGTCTGAAGTACTTGGATTATACATATCTCTGCCTGTTATCCTCATGTTTGCCGCAATATTCAATAAGATCGTGGCTGATCAGTTACATCAACCTGCCTTCTTACCCAGTTCCCCATCCCTTAATTTGCTCAGCGTCCAAAAATCTCTCACTTTCAATCTTGAATACAGCCATCGTCTGAGAATTCACAGCTTTGTGGGATAAACAATGCCAAAGATTCCCAATATTCATGACAAAGAAATGTGTACCTCATCTCAGTCCTAAACGGACTGTTTGATACAAAAATGAATGAAAATTTAAATTTGGATGGGGGTTGAAAGAAACAGGGCTAAAGATGGAATAGCTAACAAGACGTTTGTGAAAAAATATTTCTGGGCATGTGGGCTTTGCTGGCATTTATTGCTCAGCCTAGTTTCTCCTTGAGGTGGTGCTGGGTCATCTTCTTGACCCCTTGCAGTCAGTGCAGTGAATGGACCCAAAAGGTATTGTTATATGGAGGCTGGCAGGTTGTTTCATAATTTTAATGATGGAGGAACATGAGGGGTTTCTCTGTTGGTTGGTTTACTCAATTCTTATCTGTGAGTGCAGTCTTCTTTTGTGTTGCAGCCTGAAAAGCAACATTAAAAACCAACATTCCATTTGGCTAATCATTCCATGGCCTATGTGAATTGGAGTGAACAGAAGCTCAAAGGATGGAGCCTGCTGCGTAATGGTTTAATAGTTTGGATATCCAACTTTATACTGAATAAGGAAGGCAGTTTTGGTTCAACCTTATCAAGCATGGCAGGGATTATTAACATTAAATAAGAGGGCATTACTGCATCTGCTGATGGATATATCTTTTTACTGAGGCAAATAGTTCTAACACTTTCCATGCTTAATTGCTTGTGGCTTAGTGGATAGCAAAACCATCTACATCAGAAGCACCCCAAAGATTTATGCACTTAATCCAGGCTGAGACTTCAGCACAATACTGACCAGCGTGCCATGTTCGCCCAACGAAACATTAAACCGAGGAACATTCTGTCCCCTCAGATGGCCATAAATGAATTCACGACACTACTGCAAAGGAGAGGGAAGTTCTCGGGGGTGTCATGGTCAATATTTACCAGTCAATTAACAAAATGAAAAGCTTATTATCTGATCTTGCTGTGTGTGAGATCTCTCTGTGTGCAAATTGGCTACCTCGTTTCCTACAACAGTAGCAATACTTCAAAAAGTACTTCATTGGTTGTGAAGGATGCCATCTAAGTGGAAGTCTTATCATTGTTTTGTGTGAGACAACTCGAAATATTAAGCAGATAATCAGCCCCTCCTACCAATAACAGCACAAATGTTTGATCTGTAACAATATTGGGAAGTAAACACAATATAGGCTGACGCTCCAGTGTAGGACCGAAGGAGAGCTGCACTGTCAAAGTTGCCATCTTTTAGCGATATTGAGACTCTGTTTTCCCATTCAACAAGCATTGGTGATGCAGGCAGAATGAGGTGGGAATGTGTGGTACACTCAGAGTTTGAGTTGTTAGGTTGGAAGCTGGCTGTTGCTATTTGGGTTCGGGAGGCGAAATGGAGAAAGCTGGGAAAAGCAACCGGGGCAGAGAATCTAATTCAAGTCCAGGGCCATTCTAGTTGGATTTGTACCTGTAAACCTTCCCTTTGTGTTGTCTACATTAGAAACATAATTCACAGGTATTTGCTAAAGTGACCGATCTGTAGATATTCAACCATTACCATTTCTGTTCCAGTCTTCTCTAGTCCAGTGGCAGACCAAGCTGCTGTCCTTCTATGTTGAATTGAAACTCTTCACTGAGATGGAGAGGGAGGGTGGGAAAGAGACAGGGAAGAGAAAGGGGAAATGAAAAGAAAGGAGAAGGGAAGAGAGAAAAGGTGAAAAGGGAAAGATAAAGGGAAGTGGAGATAGGGGATAGAGATAAGATATTACAGAGAGAGAGCAGAGATTAGCAATGGAGGAAAAGGGAAGTTAAAAGGAACATTAAAAAGAGAAAGGGCGATGCTGGTAAGTAAATTGACAGGGAAACAGACAGATATAGCTTGACAGAGAATGACAAAGCACGGGTATGAGAAAGAAATCAAGAACAGTGGCACATACTTAGCTTTGATGAGCCAAAGAGTGGATTTTTCTGCCAACTCTGAATTTTTTGGCTCTCATGTGACAAGCCCCCACTTGGGTAAGATACTGGAGTACATGGAACTAACTCCCTGCGTGAAACAGTGCTTTTAGAAGGAGGTTAGGGGATGTTATTCTCAATGGGTGCGTCTCTGACTGTTCAGCACTTGACTTAGAAGTCTACACGGAAAGAATGAAACAATAAAACTTATAAAAATATAAGGTATACGATTCAGGAATCTCATTGTAAAAGAAGTAAAGGCCTTAGGCCCCAAAATGCTTTCCTTCATTTGCCTGATCTCAGTGGCACTAATCGACTCTCCCAACTGCATCATTATTCAGATATACGATGAGTTCATTTTTTATTTCCATTTGACTCTAAGTTCTTGCTCAGTAATTACCTCACATCTTGAATACACTTTAAATGACAGAGTTGCCCCATCTTCTCTTCTTAATCTTAACTTAGATATTTTTGACTTGATTGTTAAATTCTTTACCATGGATCCATTAGATCTAGCCACCTTAATTTTGAAAACTTTAAATCATCCACTGTAAAGTTTATTTTCAAAATAAATAAACTCAATGTCTTCAAACTTCTAGAAGAGCTTTATTGAATGTGCAGCACAAAAAAAATCAATTGGGCAGTATTCCTGCTCTACACAAGCCTACTCCCATTTCATTTCATCTCAAACTAATCCAAACTCTACATTTTCTGAAATCTACATTTCTCAGGTGTTAGTAGTCTTGTTTCCTGGTCAGCAGTTCAGAATTTAAGTCCCATTAAAGGGAACTGAATGCAAAATCTAGGCTGACACTGTCATGAAGTACAGAGGAGATTGCAGTGAGATGTTAAACCTAGGTCCTATCTGATCTCACATGTGAATGTAAAAGCTCCTATGGTAATATGTGAAGAGCAGCAAATAGGCTCTCCCTAGTGTCCTATCCAATACGTATTTCTTAATTAAGGTAATTAAAATGGATCATCTTTTAATGATTGAATTGCTGTTTGCAGGACAATGTGGCTACTGTTTCCTATATTCCATCAGTGACTATAAGCATATAATTACTAGAAGAGTAGCAAGAGGATTGGTGACTTGATTAAGTACTGAGAAAGGATTTATACATGGAGATAAAAGCCTGGCTAAGAGTATTGTGGATCTACTTCTTCCAAAGAAGAATTGGGGCAGCCCGGTGGCTCAGTGGTTAGCACTGCTGCCTCACAGCGCCAGGGACCCAGGTTCGATTCCACCCTTGGGCGACTGTCTGTGTGGAGTTTGCACAGTCTCCCCGTGTCTGCGTGGGTTTCCTCCGGGTGCTCCGGTTTCCTCCCACTGTCCAAAGATGTGCATGCTAGGTGGATTGGCCACGCTAAATTTCCTGTAGTGTTCAGGGATGTGTAGATTAGGTGGGTTATAGCAGGGTGGATCTGGGTGGGATGCTTTGAGGCTCTGTGTGGACTGGTTCGGCCAAAGGGCCTGTTTCCACACTTTAGGGATTCCATTTAAAAAAAAAGCTGCTGTCAAAGTCATGGTGAAAGAGGAGCTTGTTGGGATGGGGATGAAAAAGCTTTATAAAAAGGTGTTGCTGGAAAGATATCAGTATTTAAAGTTAATAACTCACCAAGATTGGACAAAATGCATCTGAAGATGCTGAACATGTGAGCAAATTTGTGTATGCACTAAAAACAGAATAGGCCATTCAACCCCTTAAGCATGCTCTGCCAGTTATAAGATCATGGTTGATTTGATTATAATGGCAAACCTGCACTCCAACCTATCCCTTATAACCTTTCATCCCCTTTGCTTAACAAGAATCAATCTACCTCCACCGTAAAAATATTCAAGAACCCTGTTTCCATTATAATTTAATGCACAAAGTCCCAAAGACTCATGACCTTTGAAGAAATTAAAAAAAGTCCCTCATTCTTGTTTTAAATGGGTTGACACCTGATTTTAAAATAGTGACCCGAGTTCTAGATCCTCCAATAAAAGGAAACATCCTTTTCAAATAAACCTTGTCAAGAACCCTCACGATCTTAAGTTTCAGTCCAGTCACCTCTTACTCTTCTCAACTCTAGCAATACAAGCCCAGCCTATCCAACCTACAGTCACACAGCACAGGAATAGACCCTCCGGTCCAACCCATCCATGCTGTCCAGATATCCTAAACTGATCTTGTCCAATTTGCCAACATTTGGCCCATATCCATCTAAACCCTTCCCATTCATGTACCCAGCCAGATATGTTTTAAACGCCTTTAACCTCTCCTCATAAGGCAACCTGTCTATTCCAGGCATTGGTCTAGTAAATCTTCTGTGTACTACCTCTAACACATTTACGTTATTCTATAAATAAGGAGACCAACACTGTACACAGTACTCCAAGTGTGGTCTCACCAGGGCCCCTGTGAAGCATGAACTTCCAACATTTTATTCAAACCCTTGCAATACATGATTATATTAGTTTCCTAATTACTTGCTGTAACTGCACGTTAATGTTTTGTGATTTACGCACAAGGGCAGCCAGTTCCCTCTGCACTTCAAAGCTCTGCAATCTCCTACCATTTAGATAATATACTTATGTTTTATTCATCCTGTCAAAAGAGAGAATTTTATATTTTCCCATATCAGACTGCATTTTCCACATCTTTGTCCACTAATCTAACCCACCTATATACTTTTGTGGACTCCAGTGACCTCTTCACAACTTACATGCCTGCCTATCTTTGCATAATCTGCAAATTTGGCAACCATACCTTCAATCCCTTCTTCCATGTCTTTTGAATAAACTGCGAACAGTCGAGGTCCCAGAATCGATCCCTGTGGCACATCTACTTGTTACTTCTTGCCAAACTGAAAAATCACCCTTAGACTGTGCTTCCTGTTCGCCAGCCAATCTTCTAGCTATGCCGATTTGCTACTCCCTATATCCTGAGACTTAATTTTCCCTAATAACATTTCATGTCGCACCTTATTAAATGCCTTCTGGAAATCTAAATGGAGTACATCCACTGATTCCCCTTATCCACAGCACGTTACCTCCTTAGAAAGTTCCACTAGATTGGTGAAACATAATTTCCTTTTCACATTACTTTGAACTTATCCAAGTGCCCCACAATAACTTCTTTAATAATAGCTTCTAACATTTCCCCTAGAACAGATATTACACTAACTGGATTGTAGGTTTCTGCTTTCTGTCCCCCTCGCATTTTAAATAATGAAGTTCCATTTGCCATCTTCCAATCTAATGGGATCATTCCCGAATCATGGGAGTTTTGAAAATTTAAAATTCATGCATTAAATAAATAGCTTGTGAGATAGTTAAAGATCTTTGGATAAAGGCCATCAGGACCCAGGCACTCATGAAAGTAATTGCAGAAATATGAAGAATTCTAACTGTTACATCTTCGTTCAAACAAATTACAGGAATTTACCAGTTTAATGGTGGGAAATTTTTGAGAAATCCTAATCAGGAACGATATTAATAGACATTTGAATAAGTACGAATTAACTGACAAAAGCCAGCGTGGATTTGTTCAAGGCAAAATGTGTTTAACTAAGGTGATTGAGATCTTAATGAGATAACAGAAAGTTAAAAAGTTTAATGTAGTTGACGTGCTGAATGTAGACTTCCAAAAGGTATTTGATAAAGTACCATATAACAGGTCAGCCGGCAAGGTGGAAACCAATGGAATAAAAGGAATAGCAGCAGCATCGATATGAAGTTCAATGGGCAATAGGAAACAGAGATTAGAGGTGAATGGTATGCAGCAAGGTTCCCCAGGATTCAATACTGAGCAATGCTTCCCAGCACTGACTTCTGGTTTTGGAAGTCACTGCCATGCACAGATGAGAAAAGATTACGGGGGAATGTAGGTACTAGGACCAAGGCTTTTCTTGATCTTTATTCAACCTGCAGCACGCAGACTGCTGCAGCTCATCACCACCTTCTCAAGGGGTATCTGGGGATGGGCAATAAATGCAGGCCAGCCAGCGATGCCCATGTCCCATAGGTGAATAAAAGAAATCTTAATAATTTAGACTTGGAGTACGGTGAGTGGGAGTACAGGGCACAATTTAAAATTTATAAGTTAGAAAGACTTACGAGAAGGACAGTGATAGATTTCAACAGGGCACGGTCAGATCACATGAATGACGAGTTGAGAGAATGTTTAAAAGGGACTCAGGAACTTGGGTTTCATAAATAAGAGCACAGGTTGGATTTTACAGAATGCCACAGTCCTGCATCTCATCATCCCCGACCCTAAACCACTCACAATCCTCTGCAGCAATTCACTGCTCGGAGCAGTGTTCCTTACTTTAAGACAATAGTTGTGCCCATTTCTTGAAGGAGATCCCTCCTTATACAGAACTGCTGACCAATCGGACAATTTGATAGCCCAGCTGAGCCAGCTGGTAGCAGTGACCACTGCTGGAACCATGGGACAGAACTCCTTTATTGAGGGGTCATTTACAAGAAAGAAGCAAAACTTTTATTTATGTGATGCCTTTCACAATTTTGGGACATCCCAAAGTGGTTCATGGCCAATGAAACACTTTCATAGTGTTGTCACTATTATAATGTAGTAAACACAACAACCTGATGTCCTCTACAGAAGCAAGTTGCCGTTCTTACCTGGTTTGGTCCATATATGACTCCAGGCTGACAACAACATAGTTGCAATTGCAATTATCCTCTGGGCAAATAAAGATGGTCCAGCTACGGTCACGTCCTATGAACGAATAATTGAAAAAGCCAATTTGTACACAGCAAACTTCCTCAAACAGCAGGATGACAATGGCCAGGTAATCTGTTTTAGTGAAGTTTGTTGATTGAGGGTTCAGTAGTGTTGCAGGATACTGAGGCAAACTTCCCAGCTCTTCTTCCAAGCAGGACCCTGGGAACTTTTACTCTGAGGTCAAGTGATTTAATGTCTCATCTCTAAAGACTGCACCTCGACTGTGCAGCACTATCTCAGTAACACACTGTCAATGTGGATACTGTGCTCAGATCTCTGGAGTGCGACTTGAACATTGGACCTTTTGACTGGGAACTTAAAATGTGGGCATCGCTGACAGCCAGCATTTATTGCCCCTAGCTGCCCTTGAGAAGGTGATGGTGAGCTGTCTTCTTGAACCGCTCCATAGCGGCTGCACGGTGGCTCAGTGGTTAGCACTGCTATCTCACAGCACCAGGGACCCAGGTTCGATTCTACCCTCGGGTGACTGTCTGTGTGGAGTTTGTGCATTCTCCCCGTGTCTGCGTGGGTTTCGTCCGCCTGCTCCGATTTCCTCCCACAGTCCAAAGATGTGTGGGTTATGCGGATTGGCCATGGGAAATTACCCGTGTGCAGGCTAGGTGGAGAAACACAGTGTCACAGGGGATGGATCAAGGTGGGATGCCCTTCGAAGAGATGGTGTGGATTTGATGGGCCAAATGGCCTGCACCCACACTGTGGGGATCCGCTGTAGGTTGAACCACAATGCTGTTAGGGAGGGAATTCCAAGATATTGACCCAGCAACAGTGAAAGAACTGCAATTTTTGTTCCAAGCCAAGACGGTGAGTCCCTTGGAGGGGAACTTGAAGGTGGTGGTGTTTCCATGCAGCTGCCCTTGTCCTTCTAGATGGAAGTGGTCATGGATTTGGAAGGTGCTGTCTGAGGATCTTTGGTGAACTCCTGCAATATCGCAGTGTACTTGTAACATGAAGAACAAGGTATACATGAGAAAATACTGAACTGTTCCAGTTGGTACAGGGAATCAAAATTGGTTGACTGCAGAATGGCAGAACAGTTAAAGATCAGGCACAGGAAGTAAGTCATTGGTGCCAGCTTGGCAGGAGAAAATGTGCTGACTGTAGAACTGCATGAAGGTAGAAGGTAGGAAGCAGAGCTAACACACAGGATGGTGGAGATGAAACAAACACAGAGAATGCTCAGCAGGTCTAGCAGCATCTGCAGAGTGAGCAAAACAGAGTTAACATTTTGACTCTGGTATGACTCTTCTTCAGACCAGGAGAAGGTGTATGAATACAACAGGTCCTCTCAGGAGGGGAAATTCATTGAGAGAATGTGTCAGAATGGTCCAGTATAAGAAAAGGAAATAATAAAGGCAAAATTTGAGGGTTTTGTTTTCTGGTTTTCTGGATCTTGTTGAAACACCGAAGATTTGTTTCACATCTTGTCCACAGTGTAGAACAGTGATTCTTATACATTTTTCAGCTGTCGGACTCGTTTTTTTTCATATGGGTTAGAAACAGCACAGTGTTTCCTAAGTGACTCCTTCTCTCTCTTCTTTATTCACTACCAATCAGTACCAGTTTTGCATTCGATACATTGCCCTGACTAGCCTTATTTGTCAAACTAATGATTCTCTACTTATTCCAACCCTGGAGGATAAAGGATAAGTAATTGCAGTCTTAAGAGCCCTGGATAGTTCCAAATGGAGCTTGTTACCCGAGCACGATAAACTGAACAGTGATTTTTCATGAGTTTCTGGTGAGTTTATAGAACTAAGGAGACCTAATAACCATTAGGAGGATATTTATCTCAATACAAGGACCAGCTGTCTGGAGTACAGATAGCAGAAGCCCTCTTTTTTCTCATTAAAGTCAATCTCCCTAATTTGTGCCTGTCCTGAACAGGGTGAAATTTATCAAAATGCTTTCAAAACTGCAGTAGATGCTGACACACAAGTTTTAAGAAAGGAGATAGGGGAAAATGGAGAGCTTTTTTTCCACTGAACACAGGAGAGCAAAATTACAAAAAAAAAACCTTTATTAATTCTGCAACTAATGGTCCCCATTACATCATAAACACAACCCCAACAAAAGGGTATTTTATTCGAGAACGAAGCCACTTTGTGTGAGTGTCCCCATTCTTAGCATCCAAACACTAGGGATGACAGTGAAAAATAGCAGGGTTAAGGCACTGCGATCAATCTCAATTACAGTGACTGTAATGTGAACGGAGTCTCTCTGGGCGGGAGAGGTCACCTGCCCTTGGTGCTCAGGTTAGCAGGCACCTGCTATTCAGTGTCTGCAAAACCCTGCCATTCTCAAGGCTTCTGTCTTATTTCTCTCACACTACCTCTCCCCCGAAACCACCCCTAACCCTTCACCAAAAACAGGGTCGGGTTCTCTCTCTCTCTCTCTATTCATTCTTCAGACACAGTAATTCAAGACATTCCAAACCAACACTGCACCAGCTTTTCATCTCCTCAGCTCTCTCTCCTGCCTGCTCTTTTGCAAATCAGCAGACAGCTAATGTACTGTTGAGCTTGCGTGCTGTGCCCCTGAGTGAGAGCTGCAAATTATGTACGTGCCCAATCTGAGGGCTTATGGGTAGAGGCACTATTGTAAACTATTCTAACCTCAACTTACAAATTAGGAAGGTGCAGTCATTATGCACTAAGGTCTTTGCACTAAGCAATTGGTATAGCCGGTGGCATCAAGGAGCTAGTGGAAGATGGAACAGAGGTAGGAAGAGAAAGCGAGATAGGGCTGAGTTGGTTTTCCCTTTAAAAGAGTCTGAAAAAGATAAATAGAAAGTTTGCATTTATGTTGCACCCTTCATGCCCTCAGGACACCCCAAAGTGCTTTAGAGCCATTTAAAATGTAGTAACTACTGTAAAGTAGGAAATGTGGCAGCCAATTTGCTGCACAGCCAGTTCGCATAAACAGCAATGTGATAAATGATGAGATAATCTCTTTTTACCATTGGTGTAAATTACAGTCATAGAGTCATAGAGCTGTACAGCATGGAAACAGACCCTTTGGTCCAACTTGTCCACGCCGACCAGATATCCTAAATTAACCTAGCCCCGTTTGCCAGCATTTGGCCCATATCCCTCTAAACTCTTCCTATTCATATACCCATCCAGATGCCTTTTAAATGATATAATTGTACCAGCCTCCACCACTTCCTTTGGCAGCTCATTCCTCTCTGTGTGAAAAAGTTGCCCATTAGGTCTCTTTTATATCTTTCCGCTCTAGGTTTGGAGTCCTCCACCCTCGGGAAAAGACATTAGCTATTCACCCTATCCATGCCCTTCATGATTTTATAAACCTCAATGAAGTCACCCCTCAGCCTCCGAAGCTCCAGGGAAGGTAGCCCCTATTCAGCTTCTCACTGGTAACATCATTGTAAATCTTTTCTGAATCCTTTCAAGTTTCAAAACATCCTTCCTGCAGCTGGGAGACCAGAATTGCATGCAGTATTCCAATAGTGGCCTGACCAATGTCCTGTAAGCCACAACATCACCTCCCAACTCCTATACTCAATGCACTGACCAATAATGGCAGGCATACCAACTGCCTTATTCACTATCCTGTCTACTTGGGACAGGAACTGAGGCACAAATTAGTGGCTTGGATGGCAGAATAGTGGTAGTGTCAACAGATTAGCCCCAGGCTGATGGTCTGGAGAACACAGGTTCAAATTCCACTCCAACTACTGGTAGAATTTACATTCAATTAATAAACCTGGAATTAAATACTAATCTGATGGTGACTGTAAGACCATTCTTGATTGTGACAAGAACTCTATTTGAGTCAAAGGCCAGCTTTTGGACCGTTCATTCGACGAAATTCTGCAGAGAAAATTTTGAACAATACTTTCCAGTGGGCTCAAGACAACACAGATCTGGAGAGAAAGTTCATCTCTCCACAAATACTACCAGACCTGCTGACCTCCTCCAGCACCTCCTGTCTTTGTTTCAGATCCACAGCATCCACAGTTTTTTGTTCTATTATAGATCTGAAGAAGATGTTTCTCACTATAGGGGGAATTGTTTAAAAATAATGGGCTGCCCAGTAAAACAGGAATGAGGTGAAAAGGCAGCAGAAACTGTCTTTGAATATTTTAAGGTAGAGTGGATAAGCGGAGTTTTTGGTAGGGGGTGCGAAGTTTACAACACAATTCAGTGTTTATGTGGAAACATATCATTTTACAGCTAAGTGTACAATCCATCCACAATTAGACCATAGTGTGTGCAAAGTCATGGTCTCATTCTCTTTGGGTGCAGTGTTGAAGAATTCCCAAAAGTGGATCCTTAAGCAAAGTAGTGTGCCAAACAAATGTCCATTAAAAATAAGCATAGGCGGACTTTAAGAAATTGGATTTTTAAAAAAATTATTTCATGGGATGTTAATTATGTTTATTTATTATGTTTATGATTACATTTATTGTGCCATGGCAAGTTGGCAATTTTTTTGTCCATCCTCAATTGCCCTTGAGAAGGTGGTGGTGAGCTGTCTTCTTAAACTGCTGCAGTCCATGTGCTGTAGGTACACACACAGTGCTGTTAGGAGGAGAGTTCCAGGATTTTGACTCAGCAACTGTGATGGAACAATGTGTTCCACGTTAGGATGATGGGTGGCTTGGAGGAAACGTGGTTGCAGGTTTAAGAGATGGTAATGAGTCGTGGTGAGTTACTGCAGTGCATCTGTACTACACACATCTGTGATACATATTGTAATCGCAGTGCGTTGGTGGTGGAGGGACATAATGTTTAATGCAGTGGATGGAGCTCTAATCAAATGGGCTGTTTTGTCCAGGATGGTGTCAAGCTTCTTACTGGAGCTGCATTCATCCAGATAAATGGGCAGTATTCCAGCACACTCTTGACTTGTGCCTTTTAGACAGTGGATAGGCTTTGGAAAATGAGGAGGTGAATTCATCATTGCCGAATTCCCAGCCTCTGACCTGTTCTGATAGGCACAGTGCTTATATA